GATATAATATTGTGGTATCTTAATTTTTATAAATCATAAGTAATTCTTTTTGTTTTCAATTGAAATTAAGCCCCGAATTTGTTAAGAATGATAATAAGAAGAAGAAGAAAGAAAAAGAAGAATTAAAACCTTTTCATAGAGGTGAAAACTTGTTGCATATGAAGATTCGAATTGCCACCGGTAACCCGACCATTTAACCCAACTTAAAATGATCAACCGTAGTGATATGTATGTTGTCTTTTGATTTTGAGCAAATAATGATGCAATCACTCTCTGGCTCGTGACACCCGGGATTCTTGGTCAATCAAAATTTGTTCCTTTCCATTACAGAACATTATTCCTTGTGGCACATTTTGAGGCCTGGTCAAGACTCAAGAGAGACTGCCTGGGTCTATGCTGCACCTCACTTTGGACAAAGATGAAAAGCTAAAATAAAGCTAATTGAGCTCATACCCGCCGTGTATTTGGCTTAAATCCTTGGCCTACGAAATCTATTGCTTTTCTTTTTCGTTATGTATACAATGCAATTGAGTAAAAAGTGCTAAAACCACACTCTCTATATATCTTTCTTGCTTGTACATCAAGGTATATATATGGAATTGGTCTATGCTCTGATGGGTATTGTGGGCCTTCATCTATGATCTGATCACCCCTTCAATGAAGCTAATTAAGCAAGGAGGGACAGTAATTAAAGCAATAATATTGGAGATGAAAATTGGTGGGTGGTTTTTCCTCATCAAAGACATTATTAGTTTAGGCATTAGTTGAGCAACAGCTCAACTTAGTTGGGTGAAAATTCGTCTTAAATATAGAAATTTGATCAATCCTTTCACCAAATTCATCCCTAATGTCAACTAACTAGTACTGACTAAGAACTAATTATAAACATTTGCCTTGATTTTTTCTTTTTTTAACAACATATGCGAACCAAGTTCTAACGTATATTTTTCCTTAACTAATTTCCTTTGATTAAAAAAAAGAAAAAGCAATAGGGTATTTGAAGACTAAAATTATTTATCACAAGTTTAAAAAAGTCATAATAATTAACTTAAATTTTTGTTTACTGCCCCAACAATCCCCTCGCTCAACAGTTGCAGACAACCGCATGCAATGATCAAAGATTGCTTACAAGTCAACGATTGATTTTAACTTGAAGAACTCAAAAGTCAAAACAAATACTAAGTTAACCCATTTTAACTCATGGTAGACTGGTCCACATAATCAATGGTCCTAATTCTGCCAAGCAGATCATAATGTTGTGTTGTTTGTACCTTTTTGTGCATGATGATCGAGGTTAAAACTGTAATATAGGTTTGTACAAGCGTGAGAATCTGCCATGATGGGAACCACTTGGATTAGATGCATGACCCCATAATCTTGCCCCCGAAAAGGTAATATTGAAGATCTCGGGAAGAAAATTAAATGGAAAAACTTGCCTGAAACATGTAGTTGCTAGCATAAATAATTAAATTGCTGAACAAAGGGAAAAAAAAAATCTGGTATCTCCTCGGATTTCTGGGTATCAATTAAAACTTGTTGTTGATTTTTTTTTATTTTTTTGCTAATGTAAAATTGTAATTAGCATTATTTGTCTATTAATTATTTGCAATTTACAAACTCAATTATTAATTCTTCCATTGGGCACTTATTTTTAATTTAATATAGCTAGTTGATAGAATTAGTGGTTGAAACTTGACGGTGGGAAAAATTAATAAATCTTCATCTACAAACAAGGTATGTTGAATTTCACTAGTGATTTTTAAGAATTCTCGTAAAGTGGGGGTTGGCTGTTAATTTGCATCCAATGGTCGTGCGTCTATGAGACATGTGGTTTGGTTTGATGTGACTCAGTATCAAATTTCACATGAGTCAAACTAGCTTTATACGTTGGATGCATATATTGTTCCTGATTCAGGAATAAATTGCTATTCCTGAATCTAAAACCATTCTGAAACTAAAGAAAGATAAAAAAAATAATAATAATAATTATAAAAAGCCCAGGAGAAGTAAATCTCTAGTTATTACAGTCAAAAGCTGACTGCGTTGTGACGAAATTGAGAGTACAAATCAAGGAATCCCAATTCTCTCCATGACAATTTCTACGATTATTTAATTAAAGGTATTATAGTTATAGTGTTTTCTAGTTATAAAATATTGAATATTTTTATTGATTTTATTGTTCAGTAATTTAACTAACTATCGTGTAATTATGCTCATTACTAATGATATTGTACAAATATGATTCAAAGAATATATTATTATTTTTGAAAGAAAAATAATATCCTGTTCCTACGTAATTTATTCAATTTCTTAATAATTATGGTAGTTACGAAAAATTAAAGTTCAAGAAAAAAATCTCTTTAGAAAAAAAAATTGTTTAAATAGCAAACATACCAATTATAAATGATGACAAATTAATAAATAGTTACACTTGTTGCATTAAATACTATCTTATCATTTCAGGATTTTGAAGGTTCTATAATTAATTATAATGTATTGAAATAACCATAAGAAGCCCTTTATATTGATTTATCAATTTTACTTAACATTGATAAAAACAAATTATTTCATTTTGACTAAATCACTTATAAAATCCAATTTTGTAAACCAATATTGACACTTAGAGGTCAAAATTCATCTTTACAGCCATCTTTATTTTTTCATCTTAGTTTGAAAACAAAGGTCTACGTCAAAGATCGATTGCAAAATTCACATGCACCCAAAATTAATATACCCAAATTAATACTAATTAGACGTGACGCATTGGATTCATATTCTAAAATGTCTTAATTTATCAATTGTTTTGTTCAATTTTTCCCAATCTTGGACTTGGGATCCATTAAAAAAACTGCATAATCCTGTCAAAGAGATCACGTGATTGGTCCACGGAACCAAAAAAATCACTAAATAAAAAGAAGTCTTCCATTTCTTTTTGAAAATCCCCAGAAAATAATGACAACAATAATAAAAACATTAAAACCCTTTTAGGGATTGGCTTTTTGTTCTTGTATTTTTGAAGCCTGTGATGAGTTTGGTTGGTCAATGGAATGGGCTTTAAATGCCGTGATTGGCGCCTGAGAAAATAGAATAGAAAAGAAAGGAAAAATAAATAAAAGACACATTTTCTCGCAAATTTATTTGTATAAACACGCAATTCCCTAGCTTTTATCCAATTGCCGCAAAATCAGCAGGAAACCCTGACCATTTGCCTAGTTATGTACGGAAACCACCAACGGCCTTGCTGATGTGGCATCTCCACGGTTAAAATCGTCATGGTTATTACTCAACGAGTAACTAATTATTAACCGAGATGGAGAGAGAGAGAGATTGGAAGTTGGAGCCTGGAAAACGGTATCAATTGAACGTTTGAGTCATGACCGGATTTTAAAATCCTCCACGGTCAGATCCCGCCCTGTCTCAACCGTTCAACCTCGAATAACCGGTTTGAAAAAAATCGGAATTTTAAAAATCCCTTTGAGAGCTATTGGAATAGTGTGAAATAGAGATGACAGACGGAAAATTAATTTTTTCTAGCTCTTGAAAATGCTTTTAAAAGTTATTTGATATAAAAAGAAATTCTCAATATTATATTTACACTATTAGTTTGATCATCAAACATCAATTCCTTCTATTTTTCTTCTTCAGTTAATAATGCCAAATTTGTTGATTTTGGCAATTATTTTGTATCTAAACTTGGAAGAAGAAAAAACAAAACATTCACATTAACACTAAGAATTTTACAAAACGTTACCTTTTTTTTTTTTTTTTTTTATAACTCACATATTCAACATATATACTTAAAATTTCTATCAAAACTAGTATTTTAGGATTTAAACTCATAAGCTTCTATAAAAAAAAATTAATATTACAAAATTACAAGCTCTTTAGTTCAAAACATTACCTTTTAATCTAACTCAATCGATGGATTTTGAATCCATACTATATGTCAACTCACGTAAGATAATGCTCCAATCTTCTTTTTCTTATTACTTTTTAACGTAAGTTAATGCTATGTTCAATCAATCAAATATTTTATAAAATTTTACATCGAAACATTTTTATAAACTTTGCAAAATATCCTATCCTTCAATAATTTTTATTGATCACCAAATACAAAACATCATTTTTTTTTAATAAGATATATTCCCGTCAATCAAATGAATAATGTGACTTGACATTTTTAAGTCCAAATTGTAAAACACTAGTTATAGGACCCAAAGAATTAAAACATAAAGAAACTGAATACTTGTTAAAAAAAAAAAAAAGCAATTGAGCACGTCAAAATGAGGAAATTATAAATTAGTCCCTATTAGTTTGAAAAATGAATTAATTAGTCCCTTTAATTTCAAAAACTAATTATTTAATTATTTATTAATTATTATTTTTTTAAGAAATAGAAAAAAATAAAAAATAATTAAAAATATGAAAAGATTGATAAGAAAAAAAGATATTTTATAAAATAGAAAATATTAAATTAGTTGTGGTCAAAACTGACTTAAATAATTAAATAATTAATTTTTGAAAGTAAAAAAATTAATCAATTCGTTTCTTGAAATAAGAGGTATTAATTTATAATTTACTGGCGAAAATAGATCCATTCAGTAATGTGTCTTGCGGCACGTGGGAGAAGGGTTACTTGGTCAGTGGCTCAAAGGAATGGGGAGGTGTTGGGTTGGGTTTGGTTAAATTGAACCGAACCACTAACCATGACCAGTAACTGGCAGGTATTGTGAATTGTCAAAACTCAAAAACACTAGAAAAAAGAAAACGTTATGCGGATTTCATTAGTTAGTTAACGGCGTTAAATGTACGGTTCGGTGACTGTTACGTTGTAAGGTACTGCATGGGTGGATGGGTCTATAAAAAAGATTGTTTTGTTGCTCTAAACTCTGACTCTACACTTGGTTCTTTTTTCTCTCTGCACCTCTCTCTGCCTTTTAACTATTTCTCTGCATTATCAATTCTCTTGACAGAGAGAGAAAGAAAGAGAGAAATTGACAATGACGGTGTCTAAGAAATGGGTTTGTGGGTTTTCAGCTGTGCTTGTGTTGTTGTTCATTGGTGTAATAGCTGTTACTTCAAGAAATGATGTTGGGATCTCTGCTCTTATCAGGTACATATACATACATATACACAAAATGTATATGTAAGTGGCTTCTTCTTGTCAAAAAGCAAAATTAAGTTCTCAATTCCTGTGTTTCTATGTTAGCTTTGTGTGTCCTTTTGGGCTAAGAGAAACAGGGCTTTCTCTGTCTTTTATTTTATTTTAATTGTCTGCTTAAAATTCTTTAGTTAGTTTTTTTTTTTTTTTTTTTTTTTTTTTTTTTTTGGTTTTGGAATCAAAATTTCACCTGCATTCTTTGGTCTAGTTACTTTTGGACTATAATCTAATTTCAACTGTCAATTTTTTAAACCCCAAAATTTTGCCACATGGTGTTGTTTTATGGTATTTCTAGTTCTCTTTTATGATTTTGTTTTCCGAAAAAAAAAATTATGGCTATTATCATGTAATCAGCTTCTTTTGAGGTAGCAATGAATTTTTTTTTGATACACTTGGTTTTTTGGGTAGAAAATCTCATGATTATTAGAAAAACAAAGCTACAATATATGGTGTTTTAATGAAAATCGGTACAAAAAAAGACTAATTAATAGAGGTTCCTTTTCAAGTTCTTAGTTATTCCTTTTCACCATTTTGGTTCTCTGCTTATTTTTCTGTTTGTCGACACAACTCCATTAATGCCATTTTCACAAAACTAAACCGAGTTGCTTTCTCTTAATTAATGGAGCACACAAACTTGACACAGAGAGATGGAAATGGGGAAAAGAGAGAGAGAGACAGAGAGACCGTGTAGCTTCATTGTTTTTACTTTTCTAAAGTCTTGAAAACTATCGTATCTTTTTCAGTTTTTTTTTTTTTTAATTTTTACATTTTGGTTTTTCGTTTTTGTTTTATTTACAGGAATGTGGAAACAGAGAAGGTACAGAGCTCAAGCAACTCAACAATGGCGGCCAGGTATAACGTTAACTTTAACGGTCAATCTTAGCCGTAGTTTATATGTACTGTCTTTTTTGGACGGTTGGATGTCTTTTATTCCAAAATAACCGTCTTCTAAGAATCTCTAGTCGCTGAAATCTTTAGATCTGGATCGTTTATTCTGTTTTTTGTTACTGCAACTTTGGATTCCTCGGTTAGATTAACGAGAAACCACAGAGAATTCTTTCTTTCCAATATTGCCCTCACACATTTTCTTGAATTCCACGTTTGTTTTCACCGCTCAGCTGAGGGCAAAATAAGGATAGTTTAGTCATCAAAATTATCTCCCCGCCGACGAGTCTCTTCGGCCCGGTGGTTTCTGTTTCTTCGAGAAACGGGTTTTAACGGTTTCACTTGGCAGCAGACAGTGACTGACTGACGCCTTGAGCAATGCACACACTACACTCTCTTCTTTGAACACTGTACTTTGCTGTGTGTCCCACCTTCTGTCCACTCCACTCCCTGCCTGGGCTTGGCACGTACCCATTAGTCTTTAATTTCACGTACTTCTCCATACAAAACGGTTGTTGATTTTTGATGTCGGTGGCGGTGGTTTTTGTTTTAGGTCTCAAGACGAAGCTGATGCATTAAATGAGAAAGCAGTTGCAGCTGACCCAGAAGAAGTGGTTTCAATGGTTGATATGTATGTCTCTTTCTTTTCTCTCTCTTTAAGATTTTAGTAATTAATTAATACTGTGGTTTTGCTGTTGCCCTTTAACCACAATGCAAAATAGATTCAACTGAATTCGCTAATAGAGAGAGAGAGAGAGAGGATTTGGTGGTTATGGTAGGTGTTTGGAAAAGGGTACTCTCATTATTATTTGTTACTACAAGACTAGCCATCTGATTTTTAGACCCAACCCACCTGACCATTTTTCAGATTTTAATTAAAACCCCATTTACTGATATGGTTGGTGTTTGATATTTGATGAAAAAATTATTACTATTATTATTATTTTGAAATTTCGCTTGGGAGTTTTTGTGGGATTTGCACTTTATGAAAAGGGATAATGGGAATCTGAGGAATCAGCCGCTCTGCACGTTCCTCTCTTAAATCTGATATGCTGTAGTTAATTTGACATTTTTCACGCTGTTTCTCTCCTCTACCTGCCAGCTACTGTACTTGGAGTATTAGGGGCAGTGAGTAGCGAGTGAGATCCGTGTTTCACGCGTATCGTTCTTTTGTCTATTATTTCTTTTATCCATTTAATCGTACTTAAGAGGTACAAATTTTGCTGGCTTATTATCAGAACAAATGGACACTTATAATATCTCCATCAGTCACTCAATTTAATCTAATTAACCAGCTGCTTTAGACACCTCACGTGACTGATTTAGACACTTCCTTTCGCATAATTCTTTTCTTAAAATGTATCAGAATCAAGCTTAGCTATTGGATAAGATGTCTTAATCAGATGCTTTTTATATAACATGCTAGTCTTTATAGCTGTGATTTCTGATGACATTATTAATTTGATTGTGACCTATAAAGATGGCTTTTATAAATATTAAAACCCAATTTCCTACTTTTCTCTTTTTTTCTTTTTTGGTTGATGTGATTTTTAAAATTTCAACTCTAAATCAATAATATATATATATTTTTTAAGGCTTAGATGAAGTTGGGATGGAGAAAATTGATGTAGTTGATTGTACAGGGCATGTGGTTTCTTAATTTGTAATGTAGTTTTGAATGTGACAGTTTCATTCATGTATGGAAGCAGGACAAATATAACGTACACCGACCCAACGTAATGGTATCCGTTAAACTGAAAAAGACCTAACGGTCCTCACAAATTGACAAATTGTTTGTTTCCTGTTGCCATAAATCATATGTATGCTTCCACTGTGCTGACTTATCCTTGGCTGTTTCCACCGACACAGAGGTCAGCAGATGTTAGTGTTGAAATACAATCAGTAATTGTTGAAGGCAAATAGTAAAATTTTCAATACTGTTGAAACAATTAAAATCAGATTGTTATTTTCTGTAGCATTTTGGAAATGGGAAACAAACCTAGGTTAAATAATCGAATTGGTTTTATCAATTAAAAGCCTTGACTTTTTGGTTGGATAGAATTCTTAATGTTAATCTCAATACTGATAGTATTGGATTTGACATTGCAGGAGCATCCGTAACAGTACTGAAAGGAGGAGACTAGGCTATTTCTCATGCGGAACAGGCAATCCTGTTGATGATTGCTGGCGTTGTGACCCCAACTGGCACAAGAACCGCAAGCGCCTTGCTGACTGTGGCATTGGTTTTGGCAGGAATGCTATCGGTGGCCGTGATGGTCGCTTCTATGTTGTTACTGATCCTAGTGACAATGACCCTGTGAACCCAAGGCCTGGTACTTTGCGCCATGCTGTGATCCAGGACGCTCCTCTATGGATCGTGTTCAAAAGGGACATGGTGATTCAACTGAAGCAGGAACTTATCATGAACAGCTTTAAGACCATTGATGGCCGTGGCACCAATGTTCACATTGCTAATGGAGGGTGCATTACTATCCAATTTGTTACCAATGTGATTATTCATGGTCTGCACATTCATGATTGTAAGCCCACTGGCAACGCTATGGTGCGGAGCTCCCCATCTCATTACGGATGGAGGACAATGGCAGACGGCGATGCCATTTCTATTTTTGGATCAAGCCACATTTGGGTGGATCACAATTCTCTTTCTAATTGCGCTGATGGCCTGGTTGATGCTGTCATGGGGTCTACTGCCATTACCGTCTCCAACAACCACTTCACCCACCATAATGAGGTTAGTTTGCTGCTTGTTTTGCCACTTTCATTTTTGCTTGTTTTTCTTGTTGGTGGAAGCTAATGGTTCTGTCTGCCATTTAATACAGGTAATGCTATTGGGCCACAGTGACTCTTATACCAGAGACAAGCAAATGCAAGTTACCATTGCGTACAACCATTTTGGAGAGGGACTGATCCAGAGAATGCCAAGGTAACATTTAATTACATTTTCCAATCGAAAGGACTCTGGCTTTCTGAAATTGCTTTGTTACTACTATGGAATTGTCCATAAAATTGACATGATAGAATTATACCCCAATAGTGATTATGTAGAAATAGTTGCTTTAACTTGACCGAGGAAGAAAATTACCTACTTCATGAAACTAAACCATCTTTTGCTTAGAAATGTATTGCGGGAAAGAGAACTTTCTAGTGTATTTTTGTTTAGGTGAATTTAACAGATTTTAAATCATGAATCATGCAGGTGTAGACATGGGTACTTCCATGTGGTAAACAATGACTACACTCACTGGGAAATGTATGCCATCGGTGGCAGTGCAGAACCCACCATCAACAGCCAGGGCAACAGATATAATGCTCCAGCCAACGCTTTTGCAAAGGAGGTATTATACAACTAGTCAACTCTTATCATTCTGTCTCCTTGCTTTTACGTTTATTGTGAAATGCACCACGCATATGCTGGTTGTTGATGATTCATTGCTTTGAACAGGTGACAAAGAGGGTAGATACAGCTGCAGGCAGTTGGAAAAACTGGAATTGGAGGTCAGAGGGAGACCTGTTGCTGAATGGTGCTTACTTCACTCCATCTGGAGCTGGAGCTTCAGCTAGCTATGCTCGCGCTTCAAGCTTGGGTGCCAAGTCTTCTTCCATGGTCGGGCCAATGACTTCTAATGCTGGTGTTCTTGGCTGCCGCAGGGGCCGTCAGTGCTAGTATTTTCATTCTAATTTTAAAATTGGCCAAAAAGAGGCCATTTAGTTTCTTCTTCTTCTTCTTTTTTTCCCTATTATTTCTCATTACGACTATATAGTCCTACTCCTACTATCTGTTACTCATGCCTCCGCCATTGTTTCTGTCCTGTCTATCTGTGCATTCATCAAGTATATTGGCAAGTGTACATTTTTTACACATGTCATTAAATTGTCACACCCATATTCTCTCCATTCCTGTTTGCCACTGTTATTTCTCAACCTCGGCCTGCTTCAGTTCCAAAAACAACTCCTTATACCATTATTCCAGGAGCAGGTGCAGAAGCGTTGTTCATTCGATTTCCTTTACCCTTTTTTTTCCCCCTTTCTTTTACCCTTTCGAGTTCCACATTTCCTTTCCTTCTAACTACCAGTCGTGCATCTATATTTCTACAGTGTCAGTCTCGGTCGGTCTCCACATACTGTCTAGCCTTTTGAGTCTATAGGATTTGAATGATTTGTGGTCTTTTCAATTTTCCTTGTCTAGCAATACAAGCAAGCAATACTACGGATTTCAAATTTGAGTCAATGGGAAAACTTTGTTACAGACAATGCAAAGAAATAGCAATGATGTCCTTTACCTTTTACCTTTTTTCTGCTTTTTCTTTGGCAATGGAAGTTTTGCATATCTTTTACTTTTGCTTGAACAGTTTACAAATGATCCCCTGTTTCTTCTTTTCTATGGTAGCAATGATTCTGTCAAGTGCGCACCTGCCTCCTTCACATGATATAAAGCTATTAACCAGCTAATAACTAACATGACAACCTGTCTAATGGAGTAACTTGTACTTATGATTCATTGCTGGCCAGGGACTCGAAGACATCTTAATTTACCAATTATATCTTGAACTAAATCAACAGCATTTAAAATAAAATGGGTCACGAGCTTGAAAATCATAATGTTAATGTTATAAATTTCCCTTCTTTCAAATGGCAGACTGAATAAGCAAAACATTTATTAAGGTTGAACCACCACCAGAATGGCACATTCTGATTTGCTGCTTTGGGTAGCATTTCAGGGTTTGTAAAATTTCTCTACACAGCTAATTATAACCCTTATAAATCATTTCAGGAAATGGTGACTAGTCAAGTGACAACCCAGACATACCATGGTTTTTGGGCAATAATTAATTAAACTTTTGATTCATGGGCAAGTCTCTCAACACGTGATGCTTCTTAGCCGAAGGCTATAAAGGGAACTGGATAAACCGAAGGAGAGGTAGTTAACAGGTATAATTCACATGGAAAGATGATAAAAACGCATGGATTTGCATGTGAGTTAGGGTCCCATATGGCATGTGAGAAGTTCTGTGCCCGCAAGAGATGGGACCAATTTAATTCTTTAGCCAAGTTGCACATGTAACAATACATGTTATTCGTATGAACTTTGCTAGGGCCTAGAGCTGTCCTCTCAGACCATTCTCCAGCATTAACCATTTATGTCTAGCATTGTTCCTTAGCTTCATTAATTCTCCATATGGCTTTATTGTTTTCACGCATAAAGGTTCAGATTGGATCGTTGGAGGTGAATTCCTTTCGTTCTTGAACCGTAACTCCATTATGTGGCTACAATGCAGTGAAATGTTGCTGCGGACAAACTGGAAACTGACAAACTGTACAAATGTTGGAACAAAAACTAGTCGTTATAAGACGTTTCCAATGTGTCATAGGAATTCTACCAAAGAAATCATGGACAGAATTATATGTCAGCTTGTTAATTATTCTTGGGAATCCAAAGATTCTTGCAATATCAGATTCTTAGGTGTACAAATCTAGGCGATGAAAACCATGAAGGAAAATAAGTTTTCTGTTTCTAGTTGTGGGAAAAACCGTCTTTGTAATGATAGTCATATCGTCATCCACTAAATCTAAAAGAAATCCCAGGAGTTAAAGGCACACACTAAAGACAAGCATGCATCTATATTATGGAAAGGATGGATGATGAGTAGGGTAAGACTAGGATTTGTCTCAGACAAGTGCCTAACAACTGAACCAAAATAGTTTCACAATGTTCGTAGACAAAGACTTGTAACTTCTATCATAACATAAATAACAGACTACTACTATTTATGATGGAACTTTCACATGAACCAGATAAAAGTGTGGAATGGATATGTTGTTTATGCTCTTTATTTTTGTTTACGCAGGAAAAAAAAGAGATAAATTTTCGGATTCCCCAACATATTTGGGTAGAAAAATGACATGCCGTTCAAAAAGAATGGAAATTTTAACACTTGTTTTTGTAGCATTTGGTACAAGTCGCTAGTCTGGAGATCAATTATGAAATCAACAATGTGCTCACTAAGGGAATCTCTGTTCAAAGAGGAGGAGGATAAAAGAGTTCGAACAGTAGCACTAACAATTCAATGTCAAGCTGATCTCATCTAGGCGTCTTCAACACTGGTACAAGCAACTGATAACGTTAGTGAGAGGTGCCAATGTAAAATCAATTCTGTTTTTTTCTCTGCTTGGTACCAGGTAGAGAGGTGCTTACACGTTTTTATGTTGTTTCTTCGGATTTTTAATTATGTCGGTTAATTAGTTCCCCAGATTCAGATGCACAAAATCTCCCTTGAAGGGGAATACAAGACCCAAAAAAAAGCCCAGCTCCAGCAAAGAATACTAATCATTAACTGGCTGTCAGCTCAGTCCAAACTCCTAAAAGTGCTTACTTGCTAAAGCTTGAACGCTATGTGAGATCCATTTCAACCCTGAAAATGCACGCACCTATTATCCTGTAGGACTGCTAAGCAGCTGCGGCTCCCACTTCTCAAAAGAACGAGAAATTTTATATTACTCATACATAATTAATATAAATTACTTATAAAAGAGAGAGAAACACAAAAGAAGAAAGAAAAAATAAATAAATAAACCTAGGAGAAAATATCTTCATTATTTTTTATGAATCCAGATATAATTTTTATTTTTATTTTTTATTTTTTATTTTTTTTGGTCTCTCTCTCTGCTTCTAATTGAACCCATAAAATAACTATTTTATATATACTATAATTATATTCTTTGAGTATTTTAAAATTCTTTGTACCAATATCCTAATCAAAACATTGATGAGAACCAAAAGGTAAACTATCATACGATAATATAATCACCACACTTGTGAACGAGATATCAAAAGATTCATATTAACGATTAACCAGAGCAATCCATTCCTGGTACAACTTATCTTCTAAGAGAGTCAGAGGTTAAATTTTGCTTCTCAAATAAGGTTTTAACATTCACTTTTTCACTTGAATTTCAGAAGGGAAATCATTCGTATGTCAGAAAGCTTCTTTGACCATTTCTGCACAACGAAACAGTAGTACAATCGACTGAAATCCTTATTGATTCCCTTAAAAAATCCCTTCTCTATTCCTCCTCCTCCTCCTCCTCCTCCTCCTCCTCCCTTTTTCCTGACAAAAGACCATTATGGAAATAAGCAAGTGCGAACATGCAGCACAAGCAAATCTTTTTAACTTGAAAGAATCCACTATAGCTCACTCTTTTTTGAGTCATTTGTCTCGAAAATGTATTCAGCTTCCACAAAGTGGGATTTCACCAAATCGAGGGCCTTGGAGCGGTGAGAAATCTTGTTCTTTTCATCCTTTGGCATCTCTGCGTAACTGTAAAAGAAGGGGGAAAAAAATAATAATCCAGCTGCACCTTGGTCCAAGTATTATGGAACACAGAGACAAAACAGCAGGAATAAAAGTGAAAGATTACGTTTGGTCATAACCATCAGGTTCAAAGATTGGATCCCATCCAAAATCATTAGGTCCCCTTGCAGCAACTATCTTTCCCTGAAAAATAAAGCCACAAATCATATATTTTTAGTTTTTACTAACGCGTGCCAGTTTTCCTGAGAAAAGACCATATCTGAAATAATATATCTTTGGTTTGTCAAAATAATTACTATGAGTGGAGTATGATTTTTGAACTTGAGCACGAAAAAGAATTATTTTCCTGAGTTGGAATGTAATGATATTGAAAGGAAAGGATGAAGTAATGACTCCTAAATCCTATTTTATCATATTCCTTAGTAATTTAAACCTTGGGGCAGTAAATAAAAAGCATTATGCAGCTTCTTCCAAGTTTTATATAATCTAAATACATGTTCCCAATGCAATCAGTTGGATAAGCCTTCACAATATTTTTATTTGCTAAGGCAAAGGGAGTTTAAAGTATCAATTTCGCTATTTATCAAATTTGATCAACGAATTAGGAAATAAAAGGATCAAGGCAGCCCATGTATGCTTTTTCTCTTGAAATAACCACTAACAGAGCTATCAGTTCTTCTCAACTCTTCTGTTAAAGAGTGCTCATTGATCTTTAAAATAGACAGGTTTAACTGTTAATTAACTTAAATGCATCATTGACGCAGAATAAAATTCAAATGATAAGTTACTGCCTCGAGAAAGATCATGGTCAAAGTTTGATCATGATCCCTTGTCAGATTGAAATGACACAGTGGCCTCCAAATTCACATAGGCTAGAAATAAAAGAGACTTCAAGAGATTTGGAGCAATTATTTACTTATTTATACCACAGATCCATCTTAAAATAAAAGAGACTTCAAGAGGGGATACATATAAGATTTTTATTATGTTCAGAAAACATACCATAGTTTTTCCAAGAAATGTAATAGGTTCAGCATCAGGCCCAAGAGCGAAAGACAATGCACATAAAGCGTAGGCTGATTTGTCCTCGTATGCCATCAGCAAGTTGTTCAGACCTAGAAAAGTGTAAAATCATAAGGTAACTCGTACAAGATAGGAAATTTGGCAACAATAACAACATAAGAAATGATAGGAACAAAGCACTATGAAAAGTACAAACCTTCATGACCAATCTTCTGCAGAAACCATTTTCTGCATGAACTATAATCATGTTAGACAATGACAGCAAAAGACCACAAAACAAGATTGTTACAACCAAATTGTCGAAAATAATACCACCAAGAAACTACTAGATGAACATATATCATTTTCTGATGATACTGAACCATCAACTCTTTTAAAATAGCAAGCTTGAGCTTGATAAAAACAATAATTTTGAAGTGATTAACAAAGGAACTTTGCCAATATAATTGCAAAAAAAAAAAATGCAAACAAAAAGGAAAAGGAACCTACAGTTATCTTTGTTTGAAAAGGAACAAAAAGGGAAAAAAGAAGAAGAAGAAATATGTATAATAAAAGCAATCAGATGAGGTATGCAAAAAGCATAAGGCAAGATGAGCATCAAACACCTTTATATCCGATGTCAGTTAGATCTTCTGGAGGAGTTAATGAGGCAAGGGCAATGTAGTATTAGAAGAGAATGGATCCTCCAGATCTTCTTCCTACTTTACTTCAATGAATAGAACAAGGTTGAAGTTGCATATGAAATGAGAAGATGGAAACTTTTCCAGCAAAGAAATAAGTTGGAACTGTCAACAAGTTGATCATGATGTCGACAATGTTCCTTGCCTATTTACATGTTATTATCACTGATAAATTCTAGTGCTTAAAAAAACAACAACAGAATATCCATTGAGATTTATTTTATTATTATTATTATTAGAAAATGTTCAATTGTGAGCTTAACCCAGGAGCTTCTGAAGATCCAATGAACAAAAAAACCCTAAATCCCAAATCATTAACCGATAAAATATTCCTTGGGACCATGTTTTACTTTCCAATATCGAAATCCTCATAACATTGAAAAAACGGGATGGTTCGTGGCTTGTTTGGTTAAATGTTCTGAATGGTCTCATAGTGCACGCATAATTAGTCCAATCAACAAGTACGTACATTCAATGTTAACTATCGAGATTCCAGCTTTAACACACCATCATGTTGAGCTTTCTTTCATCAAGTTGAAATTTCCCTAATTTCCTCATTTCTTTCCCATGTACAATCATTCTAAAATTCCTCTGATTAAAATTCAAGAAAGTAAGAAAGAAAAGAAAATGTACTCCACACTTACAAGGCCTTGTACAAATATAAAAAGAAGAAAACTTCACCTCAACAGTAGAAGAAAAGAATCACAACTTACATGTATGGCCCTGCAAACAAACGCTAAAAGAGTCATAAATTTGTTATAAAAAAAAATCATACAAGAAAAAGGTAAATGACCCAGTCAATCCTTATGTAATGGGATAAGTTTTCAATCTCTCCTTATATCCTTATTAAGCCAATTTTATCTTATAAAATGACTAAGTTTCAAATCTATCATTCTGTTAAATTTTTCCATCCAAATTAGCATAAACATTCATGCACATGACATAATATTATATCAAAAATGGCAACCTCCTGAAGAGAAGGGGGCCATCGGAGAGAGAGGGAGGGAGAGGGGAGGAGAAGGAAGTTTCGAAGAGAGGGATATGGTCTCCAGCGATTTTTTTTTTTTAAATTCTTCTCTTTGTCACAAGCTTTACACATGACTGACATGTCCTTACATGATTCAGTTAATTTGGACGAAAAAAATTAAAGAATGATACAGTTTGAAAACTCACTATATCAATAAAGTGTCCTTAGATCATTTTCAAAAAAAAAAAAAAAAAAGGACAAGTGATTAAACAAGCAATTACCCGGAAGACCCTTTAAGGCATTGAAGCAAAGACAAGTATCCTCCACCAAAACAGGTCCCTTCACCTTCAATTTCCAGTAGAAATACACACTTATTACACATACAAAAGATAAACCATACACACAAAGATTCCACATAGCGTACCTCTGCCGCAGCTAAACGAGCCTTCTCTTTAGAGATTTCATCAGGTTCTCCTTGCAGTTCGGGTACTGTAAACATCGAGAGCAACGACAGCAATCAAATCCAGAAGCACATATTTTTTTTGTTTTCTATAGAGAGACAAAAATACATAAAGAGAGAAACAGTACGGTCAATTTTGAGAGATTGGAAAGGAATCGATTGGCCCAATATTGTACGGACTTCTTCAAGCTTCTTTGCGTTTCCGGTCACGAATGTCACTGGTCGTGACACTACCACTCCTGAAGCTGCTTTTGCCGCCGCCATTTCCCTCTTCTTTTTCCGAGCACTTTTTTGAGACTTGTTTCCGAGACAGCAGGGAGAAATGGATTCATTCGTTAATAAACGGAGAGAATAGGCCCAAGATGATGACATCGAGTCCAGAGATACTTAGTGCATATCAATTTAGACCCAACTTATCTATACTATAAAGGTCCACAAACAAAATATGACGCGGCCCATTTAAAATATAATGCCCAAAATATCATGAAATGAATAAATTTTTGGGTAAGACTTCAATTCCCCCTATAGATTCACAAATATTTCACTTCTATCCCTGTTGTTTAACTTTTCTAAATATTACCCTTCTATTTTTCAAAAAGTTCTGATGTTACGCTAACTGATAAATATATTTTTTAAAATGCCTTTTGAGATTTTTATTATTTTATTTTTAATTTTTTTTATAAGATAAACATTACAAAATGAGAATAAAAATTTGAAGAAATTGGTGCAGAACAAATTGAAACTTTTCAAAAGGTATAGGGTAATATTGGAAAATAATAAACTATGGGAATAAAGGTGAGAATAAGAATGAGAATAAAAATTTGAAGAAATTGGTGCAGATCAAATGGAAACTTTTCAAAAGGGTAATATTGAAACTTTTTTATAAGATAAACATTACAAAATGATAATAAAAATTTGAAGAAATTGGTGCAGAACAAATTGAAACTTTTCAAAAGGTATAGGGTAATATTGGAAAATAATAAACTATGGGAATAAAGGTGAGAATAAGAATGAGAATAAAAATTTGAAGAAATTGGTGCAGATCAAATGGAAACTTTTCAAAAGGGTAATATTGAAACTTTTTTATAAGATAAACATTACAAAATGATAATAAAAATTTGAAGAAATTGGTGCAGAACAAATTGAAACTTTTCAAAAGGTATAGGGTAATATTGGAAAATAATAAACTATGGGAATAAAGGTGAGAATAAAAATGAGAATAAAAATTTGAAGAAATTGGTGCAGAACAAATTGAAACTTTTCAAAAGGTATAGGGTAATATTGGAAAATAATAAACTATGGGAATAAAGGTGAACGTTGAGGAACCTAATTGAAAAAAAAAAAAAAAAAAAAAAAAAACTGTTTAAGTGAATATTTTCACTGTTTGTAAGGAGAAAATGTTCCAAGGAGCCGTTTGACTCCTTTATTTCAATTGGTTAGTGTAATGGGCTGGATATTTAATTGATTTGGTCTATGTACTTTGAGCCTATGAAGCAATGAATGCTTGTTAGGGTAAAAGGAAGAGTAGATAAATCATAAATGACCATAGAAAAAGGAATTCAAACATTTGTCATTTCCTTCCGTCTTCAATTTTCGTAATTGATTTTCATAATGAAACTATTTAGCTTGAATAATTCTTTCACCCACAGACAAATTACCCTAGCCACATATATTGAATAACTTTTTAAGTTTTAACTAAATTTGTGAATATATATATATATATATATATATATATATGTTATTAATTGAATTAGAAATGTGTCTAATGAACAAAACTCAAGCAAATCTTTAAAATTGAAAATTTTCTAAATTCTTCTAATACTCGATCTTTAAACACAATTACAATCTTTTTTTTTTTTTACAATAAAGATGTTTTTATATTATTTTTTACGTATTTTAAAATTAATTTTATCATGGATATGATTAAAAAGCATTCTCTAATACTCGATCTTGAATATTTTAAGAATAAATTTTTAAAAATACTAATAAAAAGGATCAAATTCTAAATATAACCTATACATCAATATTTATTTATGAATAAACTACACCTGGTAGTCAAGGGTAAATCCCTAACACAACGTTGGTCCTTGTTTTCTATGATCTGACGTCCTTTTTCTAAATTAGCGGTTTATACAAAGGTCCACGTAGAACCCGTTCAAAACTTCTTCTTCTTGTTTTTCCTATTGATACATTTAAGGAGAAAATATGGTCAAATATTACACATAATTGCATCCGTGCCATTACATGTACTAATACTGCAATTTGGTTAAAAATTTTGTGGTGTATAACATCATTTGAGAGTGTCAAACCATTCGATAAAACTAGTTATTACGGCATTTTTTCTCCCAAAGTATTATATTTTTGACAATTTCCAACTTAATGCATAAAATTATATAATTTGAACTTTAAAATATAAGAAATTGATCAAATTTAATTAACATTATCTAATTTATGTTATTTCTAGCAGTCAACTATCAATTGATAGTTGACTGTTATTTAATTTTTTTTTCCTTTTTTAGTTCCTCTTTCTTTTTAACTTTTCTCAATCATGTCCTGATTCCTTTATTCTTCATTTGCTTTTTTTTTTTTTTTTTTTTTTTTTTGCCCTTTTAGCTTTGTTTTGATTTTTTTTTTGCTATTTTTTTTCCTTTTCTTTTTTCAATTTTTTCATGATTTTTTTAGTTGTTTTTTTTTTCAAAATTTTATAGAAAAATATTTATTCAAAAATTTCAATATATATATATATATATATATATATATATGCAATTCTAAGTTATTTTACAAATTTTCATGATTTTAAAACATGTTGGCATTTTTTCTTAATCTTTGGGAAAGCAATTGAAAGGGAAAAAAAAAAGAATGTTGGGAAAAGAAAAACAATTACAAAAAATCATGAAAAAATTGAAAAAGAAAATAGGAAAAAGAAACAATAGAAAAAAATCAAAACAAAGCTAAAAGAAAAAAAAAAAGATGACTGGAAACGAAAAAAAAATGAAGAAAGATATTAAGTCCATTAAAAATTGTCAAAATAACGAACAACTGATAATTAATCGTTAAAAATAATAAAAATCGAGTAATTTGGATTAAATTTTCCTAATCTCTCATACTTGAGGGTATAAATTATATAATTTCATATATTAAACCTGAAATTATCAAAATGCAATAATTTTGAGGTAAAAAAAATTCCGTAATACCGATAAAACTATAAACCGAAAAAAGAGAAGAATCAGAAATCAAGATTCCAACCTATTCCATTAGGCCCAAGATTGGGCCTTCACTAACCCAGAAGTAAAAAAACATGACTTTAAGTCGTCAACGACGCATAGCCCAACCCAGTCCCACTTATGACTGGTATCACATATTCCATAGAGCACATTTTTTTAATTTTAAAAAAATTTTGTGAACCCTCTCTATATTACATGAATGGTCTATTCTTTCGAAGCCTACAGGATGGGCTTTCTTCAAGTAAAGCAATGCCAACTCTCTCGGTATCCTCACTGAATGAAGTCCAGAGTGCCAGATAATGTACGTAAGAAGATTTGCTTTAATTAATGCTTTGTCATGATTTGTTCATTGTTTACTTTGAGGGTCAGTCCATGTCTTCTTCACATGACACTTCGTTTAATTGCTTTTTTTTTTTTTTCTCTTTTGATAATTCGAAAACCGAATACTTTTCAATTATTTTTTTTATGATACAAATTGATCTTAAAACTGAAATTTCAAGCCTTTTATATTTTTAAAATCAGAAAAACAAATATAAATCTTGTAATGATATATATAAAAAAAGAAGAGAAGTGAGATTTGAATTTTCAATTTCTTATTAGAAGTTCAAAACTCCTGTCTGTGAGTCATTTCCTATGGTTCACTTCATTTTAATTGTCAATATTCATTCTGCAACCTTAGATCATCTTCGAAACCTACATATGGCTATTGCAGAAAGGGAGTTGATATCATAGGAGTGGAAGCCAAATCATGCACAACTCAATAACAGAAATAGAAAACTTAATCCAATGGTTATGTCAAAGACAAAACATGTGAGTGCTCTCTTTGTAGCATTCCCTGACTATATAAAGTAAACTTAATCCAATGGTTATTTAGACCCCATATTGCAGAAAGGTAAAAGGTGGGGTATTGGCCATTTGGGTTGGGTTAGCTTGTGAGGTTTTGTGACAGAAACAAAAACGTGTATAGATTCGCATTGGGGGAATTCCCGAGGCCACCACCCTTGAAATAGGGAACTTCAAGCTGCGCCGTTTAGCTTTATTTTTTTCGGCCCTTTATGGTCCTAAATAAAGTAAAGTAAACAATTAAAGGGACATTAAGCCCTACGTGGAACAAAATACTTTACTTTATTCATATAATAGCAATATTGCTACAATTCTATAGTATTATTTATGTCATATAGAGTTTGGTTTTGGTCAGGCAATTAGTGGGTTACAAAATTTGGATTCCCTTCCTCACGTGATACGGCCTCAAAATCAGGGATATGCTGATGTTGAAGCTAACCCTCTAGTTTCTACTCAATCCACTTAAGTGCCACAAGTTCATGTTGTAATTTTTTATTGTTTTCTAACAAACAAGTTTGCCTTTATTGTTTGGTTTGGTTTTGTTTTTTTGTTCAATGTAAGATAAGATTGACCCACTTGTGGGTAGGGTCACTTGTGGGAGTTCCTTGGCCACATGATTGCTAACCTTTTGCTTGTGGTCATGATCATAATCAACATCTCCTCTACTATTATGAACCTTCTCATCACTACTTAGGGTCTATTGATGAATCATAAAGCTTGGCCGGCTAAACATCACTGAAGATCCCAATACTATATATTCCAATTCGATCATATCAAACCCTTTACGAATAATTTGATTAAATTAAACCCTTTAATTTAAGTTTTAGATGGTATATATGAAACTAGAAAGTTCAATTTGACCATATTATTTACAAAGGTTTAGTTTGATTAAATTTAAATAGTAGAAGGACCTCTGGCGATTTTTAGGCATGATGAGCAAAAATTTCCATGGGGTCAGATTTGATTCAAATTCGTTTCTGTAAACAAATAAAAATAGATTCCATTTCCCTGATTTGCATGCTACGTATGTTCTGCGAAACCCTCCAAATTGTAGAGCTGACGAATGCGGAATCTCAAGTTGTTTTTAATTTATACCTCATTGTCAGAAGAAGTGAGTCAAGTGACCAAGTAATCCGTGATGGTAAAATATTTTTCATTTATTTGGCAATGCCAAAAGTTCCATTTGTATTATTATTA